ATATCAGTCACACTTGAACACTTAAGGCAGAGAGATTTGTCAGTGTGAGTTTTGAGGCTGAGACATAATATTACTTACAAGTTTTCCTTTCTGGAAAACCAGAAGGCCCTCTAGTGAAAAAAAAAAAAAAAATCCATGTGAAGAATCTCCTCCAGTGTATCTGGAAAGGCTGGAGACATAATGGTGAAATGTCAAACCCGGCTTTGAAGATCATACTTAGTTCAGCCTTTTGATTAAAGAAGGTACACCCAGAGACTTCTCTAAGATACTTTTTTTGTTGTTAAGCAAAAACTACTGGAAAGATGTTCTTACCTTCCATCAGTCTATTTACTATAGGAAAGGGAGGTTGAGATCGATCCTTTAACTGTAGTGAAAGCTATAGTTCTTGAAATTTAAGAGTAATTTTTAAATAAAAGTGTAAATATTAATAACTGGCTCCCTGTATTTAGGGATGCTTTTTTAATGGCCTAAATAAGAATTGGTGTATTGCTACACCAATACCACAAGAGCTGGTATTTGGTTATGGTTTAATGAGGATTTTTGTGGTTTTGAGGAAGTGTCACATGTAAATTTGACATATATATTGCAAATTTTTAAAAGCTGACTCGTTGCAATGTTTTAAAATTATATTTTAAAATTATAGAAAAAGTTTCACGAATTTCACAGACATTTCTTTGCTGGGGTTTTTTAGCGAGAGGCTAATTTTAGGTGTTTTTAAAAGATGAAAAGTGGTATTATGGATTTCCAGAATAATTAGTGTGTGGAAGAATATAGTGACATATATGTTAAAGCTTTCTCTTTCTGTGGTTTCTTCTGAGTTCCTTCACGTTTCTTAACCTCCCATTTCTAATTAGCCTTGTATTTTTGTTATATACTTTTGTTGGTTTGAAAAATACTCACTGAAATTCATTCATCTTCTCTGCTTTTTGTAATTTAAAGTTCATCTTTTTTTGTAGGTGACTTACTTATGGGGAGTCTTTCTTCACTTGAGAACGCTTAGAGAACACCACGTGTCCATAAGTGCGCTCAGCTAGCTAGTCATTGAGAAATTTTGTGTGGATGGGACTACCAAGTAAACTGATTCCATGAGCCACTCAGAAAAATCTGTCTACTTTTTATAGTTGCTCCCATTGTCACACACAGGGACACACCTGTAACACAGATTGAGCTTTATTTTTTCACTTTTGGTAATAATCAGCAGGCATCTTCTCTTTTCTAGCTGCCACAAGCCAATTTTTTCCTGATAAGTTGGCAAATAACCTTTTCTTTCCTCTGTTCCTGTATACTGCCCATACTGCCCCATATCTCTTCAAGAAATGATGACTGGTTTCCTGACCTACCCCGCTTTCTATACACACAAACCCCTCCACCCAAGAATGCAGATTACATTTTCTCTCCTCTTCACACCTCTCAGTTCACAGCATACATACTTAGATTCCTCAGAACTTTAGTATGATGATAAGGCATGAAGCAGATAGTTCTGTTGATAGATGGAAATTGAAATGTATTTAGGATATGACATCAAAAATGCATTTATTTTTCCTCTTACTGTGTTAACAGTTGGTAATCTGAAGAATCTCATTTCCAAATTTGTGAATGTTTGAACTACAGATACTACTGTATCAGTGTTCTTATCAATTGCAACAGTTAATTCAGCGCAGGGGTTTTGATGTATGTGCAGTCCTATTTTAAACATGACACTTACCTCCCTCACCCCAATCATTTAAAATCTACATCGCTTACCAAATGTTCATTTCTAATTTTTGTTAGAGTCTTTCATTGGTTTTTAACTTGACATGTTAGTTTCCAAGATGTAATCTTACACATTTGACTGTTTTGTCACTGATCCAACATACCTGGTGAAGGAATAAATCCATTAAGTAGAAATAGTTGGGGTTTTTTTTGTTTGTTTTAATAGAAAGCCTTAGTAAAAAACAGGGCATTTTAAAATTTTGTGTTTGAAATTAAATAACAGTTTTCCAGGCATATGTTTAAATTACTGAGATGAGTACTTTTGAGGAGGCTACTATCTTAACTGAAAATTTTAATTTTAATGTGATTTGGGGTTACCGCCTTGAAATCTGCATACAGTTTTATATGCAGTCACTCAAATTTGAAATAAAACCAACTGGAGTGAGAGGTCTTGAGTAATTACGATTTAAACTTTGCAAGTAGTTTGACAAATTTCAGATCCTAAGGAAATATTTGTAAATAAGATGTATGCTTTAAAAAAAAAAAAAAAAATTAGGACTTTAGTAAAGTCTATTTCTTTGAGAAAAGGAAGGAAAATGGGAAATTAACAAAAAGATTGAGGTGGTTTAGGTTGATACATTGAAAACTCTATCTTGAGATTTTGATTCCACTACCTAATACAAAGCTCTATATTGGCTTAATTTTGAGATCTTTTAGAATTAAAGAACTGGGCCTTATAGTAATACATCTTAATATTATCACACCTTTAAAAGGCTGATGGTTGTATATGCAGAAGGTTCTCAATTAGCATTGCCTATTGACTCTACATTAATTACCATAAAGTTTATGTTTCTGGCCATTTTCATTAGAAAGGTTTATGGTCAGTTGTTGAGACTTTTCAAATTGATTTTGTGTAAACTGGTGGATGTGATGGTTGAAAATATAATTCTTAAATGTGTAGCTACTTTTATAGTGAACTTTACAAAACTTGTTTAAACTGCATACACACTTAACAGTCTCCTATAAATGAGAGGAGGTGCAAAGTATTACTGGCCCTTTTGGAAAAGGATCACAGTACAGATCACTTTCCATAGATAGCCGACCAGTGTGAACTCTGTAGGCCGCATTCCAGGGACTCTTATGAATGGCTGCAATTGTGAGCTGTCATCTGTGGCCAAAAGACTGTTGAAAACCTGATTCTGAGGATCCTTTGGTGGCAGATATTTCTATGTCTTGTTAATGGTTTTATTTGTGTGGTTTGCTAATGACCACTGATAAAGTATTATACATTGTGAAAGTTAAGTGGTGTGTCCTGGTATGTGCCATAAATACACATTTTGTTTGTACATTTATATATATTTTAAACAAAATTCTGCTTTTTTTTTTACTTGAAGTTTAAGTGAGAGGATTAAGTAAATGTATACCAGGAGGCAGAACTGTCTCAATCTTAGACCTCTGTTATATGAAAGTCTCACTGAATTGAAGTCTCTAAAGATGGACATTTCTGTCTTGAATATGTTTCTTGGAAGCTGACATTTATCTGTTAGATTGTGAAGGTAATTTTGCTCTTGTAGGTTTACAGTTGATGTGTGAATTACATACTAGATACTATCTTAGGCCTATCTACATGTTTAAGAGTGTTCTTACTGAGGAGTTAGTAATAAAAATGTCAGATCATATATATGTGATATTATTGTTTAGTATAAAAACTGATATTGATGTATTCATCAGGAGCGCCACATGGATTACTAAAACATACTTTATTCATAAACGTGGCTCGAAGTAAAAGGAAATGACAGTTTTCCAAAAAGGCTTACGGTTTTCCGAAGTACCTGAAATTCCTAAACCGTGAGCTATATCTGTAGGAGTGTGGCCTTTTATATTCACAGTGACACATATTGTATAAAATTTTATGTGAACTAAATCATATAGGCCAA